AAAGGTATTATGATAAGGAATCATTCAAAAACACATAAAAGGTAACAGACGCTAAAGTTTAGACAAAATCAGAAAAGACAAAGAAGGAAACCAAATCTGGAGTCAATGCAATTGAACATGATGTTGTTGTTGTTAAGGGCCTTTGAGTCGGTTCTGACTCATAACAATCCTGTATAGGGCTTCCAAGGAGTGGTAGGTGGGTTTGAACCACCGACCTAGTGGTTAGCAGTCCAGTGCTTATCTTACAGTGCCATACCATAGTACAGGAGCATTAAGCATTTATCTTGGTCATTAAAAAATGGAAAATGAGTTATATCCTTCCCTTTATCTAGTAAAGTAAATAATTCAAATTTTACTTCAATGAAGAAATTAAAATTACTTCTTCTAAAAAAATACCCACAGTCTATTTATAAAATTTCAAAGCACTAAGTGAAGTACTAAAAGAGGGAAATGACATACGGTGTCATTTTGGGTCTTGTGCCAGCATTTCTGTGAAAAGAACACATTTTAGTTAATACCATAAATAATTCTGATTCTCAAAATTCTTATTGTGAGAATTTTTTCAATTAACTTCATTTGTTGATTTTAAAACTCATTTATCTTTGCTTAATCAAAGTATGAGATAAGAATTTTATGTACTTCTAAATATTTATTAAAATTTGAAAAAAATAAAACAAAGGGATTCAAATCAATGATAATTAATGGTAAATATTACATCTAGATTGGAAAATTCATATATAGTGAGATTTTTTGTGAAATATAATCTGGAAATTATAATGTTAAGTAATTTGAAATCACTTTGTATAAAGGATCATATGTGTAATTGATTGATGTATTTTAAAACATAATACATATGTGGAAAACAACTCTTACTGAGAAATTACAGGATAGGATGAATCCAAGCTGAAAAAGTAACTTAAAATTGCTTATTGCAGCAGATTTCATATAAACATTATTTTTTTCAATCCATCAAAGAACCCAAGAACAACATTTTAATGCTGTATATTAAAAATAGGTTTACTCAAAGAATTCTAAGTAGGAAATGGTTGCAGAAAGAATTCAGTGCTAACAACAATAAAATAAACATTCTGAAGCAGTTGGTTAATAGCCCACTAAAACAGATAAAATTATCAAGCATGGAAAATCTGTATAGAACATCCCCCCTTCATAAAGTGCTAAAGCTTGAGTGTTGTTCTTAGTTGCCTTCCGAGTTGATTCTGGCTCGTGGTGACCCCATGAGAACAGAGGATAAAATAACCATGAGAAAGAAGTCATGAGGACCTGAAGGGTCAGGGAGAGCTTTGTGGAAGATTTAAATGGGCATTCCAGAGAAGTCCATACCACTGGAGAACAAAAGCTCTTCTGCCTTTCAAGGCCATAATGGCTGGCATGGCTCCTAATAAATCAGTAGTAGGCTATGCCTAGCTAATTCTGCTTAGCTTAAATCACATATAATTTATCATTAAATAAATGGTACACAATTTCTCAAAGACCATCTGCCCAGGGAGAAGTGCACCTTTTCATAAGGAATGATACTGAGTATAGCGTAGTATTTCAGATGCTGAAAAAGAATGTTTGGTTATATAACTCCACTAATGAATCCCTTGGAAATGAACTTCAACCAGGACAAAAGCATCTGTAAACTGCAGTACTTCATCACAGACACCAAGAATTGTTGTTGTTGTTGTTGTTGTTGTTAAGGCTATCGACTCGGTTCCGACTCACAAAGGTTCTGTATAGGGTTTCCGAGAAGCAGCTGGTATATTTGAATCACCGACTCTGTAGTTAGCAGTCTAGTGCTTATCCCACAGCGCCACAAAAGGACTTACAGCCTGGCCTAGTCATTCAGCCACTGAAGATCATTATACACAGAGGCTCCCAACTACCCCAACATAACACAGGTGCAAGGAGTGAGACATCACTGAGCTGAATCTGCAATTAAAAGGTCATCTCACTGCGGTTGCACAATTCTGACTCATAGCAACAGAGTAGAACCGCCCCACAGGGTTTCCCAGGCTGGGATCTTCATGAAAGCACACTGCCACATCTTTCTCCTGTGGAGAAACTGATAGTTTCAAACCTCCCACCCTTCAGTTAGCAGTCGGGCACTTTAACCACTGTACCATCAGTACTCGTAAAAGCCATGACCCCACAGATCAGTTGCCATCGAGTCTAACTCCTAGCTGCCCTAGAAGACAGAGAAGAATTGCTCCAGGTTTCCAGCATTGGGGGTTTTGAACCACCAACCTTCCAGTTAGCAGTCCAACACCTAACCCATAGCACCACCAGGACTCCTTTACAAAAGCCACAGCAGGATGAAAATACTTTACAGAAAAATACTAATAAAAGGCCAAATACTGGGCTCAAATGCAAAAGCTTGACAATAATTAAAATCTGTATTATATTTGTGTAGGCCTAGTCCTGGTGTGGCACTGCAGGATAATGCACTAGACCGCAAGGTCAGTTTGAACCGCGAGGTTGGTGGTTGAAACCCCCCAGCCACTCCTAAGAAACCCTATACAGGGTCGCTATGGGTCAGAACCAACTGGGCAGCACTTAACAACAACAATTCAGTTTATTGGAGTTTTCATAAGTCAGAATCAACTCAAAACAACTAACAACCTCAATTCAGTTTGTTTTCAATATATTTTCATACACAATTCAGAGTTGAGATTTCCTGATATAATTACTTATCAGAAAAAATGTGAAGGCAGCCTTTTCTTTCCTCTCTTTGTTTTCAAGGAGCTCTGGTGGTACAGTGTTGGGAGTGCTAACCCCAAGGTCAGTTGTTAAAACCTACCAACCATTCTGTGTGAGAAAGACGAGGCTGTCTACTCCCATAAATATTTACAGTATTGGAAAGCCTAAGGAGTTGTACTCTGTCCTCTGTATGTCCTCCATCACTGTGGAGTCCTGGTGTCGTACTGTAGGATAAACACTGGACCATAAGACCAGTTTGAACTGCAAGGTCAGCACTTCAAACTAACCAGCTGCTCTTTAGAAACACTATACATAGAGCCAGAACTGATTGGACAGCACTAAACAACAGCATCATGAGTCAGAAGGAAGTCCTGGTGTGGCACTGTGGGATAAAGTACTGGACCATGTGGTCGGTTTGAACCAAAAGGTCAACGGTTCAAAGTCACCAGTCACTCCTTGGAAATCCAATACAAAGTCAATATGAGACAGAACAGACTTGATAGCACTTAACAATGAGTCAGAAGGGAGTGCCATGGGCTCTGTATGTTAAGCACTGGAATGCAAAGCACAAGTTACACAGAAGAAAAATGAGACTTCCTGCTCCCACAAAAATTTACAGCCTCAGAAACCCTATAGAGGGTTTCTATGAGTTGGAACCGATTCTACCTCTACGGCATTTAACAAGAAGAAATGAGTCCGAATTGACTTGATGGCAGTGGGTGGGTATCTTTGGTTTTACTAAATTATAATCTAACCAAACCCAGTGCTGTCAAATCCATTCTGACTTATAAGGACCCTAGAAGACAATGTAGAATTGTCCCATAGGATTGCCAAAGTTGTAATCTTTATGGAAGTAAACTGCAATTTCTTCCTCCTACAGAATGGCTGACTGGTGGACTCCAAGCACCAAGTTAACAGCAGAGCACTTAACCACTGCGCCCCCAGGGCTTCCTAAAATCTAAGAGCTACAAGTAAAACGCCAAGTGTTTTCATGTCACAAGGAAATACCTCCATCTAGTGGCTGTACTACAATTATATTTTGTCATACATTGACAAATGCCTCTGTAAGTGCTGGTGTAAGCAGCTCTGGTAGCATAGTAGTTATGAATTGGGCTGCTAACCTCAGGGTCAGCAGTTCCAAACTAGCAGCTGTTCCATGGGATAATGTGGGAGAAATATGTGGCTTTCTGTTCCCGTAAAGATTTACAGCCTCAGTAACCCTGTACAGGGTCGCTATGAGTTGGAATTGACTCTACGGCACATAATCAACCTACTGAATGCTGGTGTGGCACTGTGAGTTAATGTGCTGGACTGCAAGGTCGGTTTGAACGACAATGTTGGCGGTTCAAGCTTACCAGACGCTCCTTGGAAATCCTATACAGGGTTGCTGTGGGTTAGAACTGAATTAATGGCACTTAACAACAAGTATATATAAGACTTCTGGTTTGGTGCTGTGGATCAGCACTGGACAGCAAACCAGCAGGTCGGCAGTTTCAACCCACCAGCTGCTCCTTGGAAACCCCTATACAGGGTCACTATGAGTTGGAATCAACTTGACAGCATTTACAACAAAACATATAAGTAAATAATCAAAATAACTACTATGTTTTCATTGTAGCTCTTAAATAATTATAAGAAGCCCTTGGAGGCACAATGTCTATATTCTCATATTTTAAATATACCAGACATATTAAAACCATCTTGGATCTTTAAATTTGAATGTCCACAGTACTCCACAAGCCACTGAAATAAAGCATTTAGACAAAGTATTTCCGTATGCTTAATTGTTCTTCTTCGAAAGGTAAACCCACATAGTCTAAGACATTGTGAAACACTGGAGGAACATTTTCTCCTCATCCCAAGTGTTTGATATATATATATATATTAACTTTGCATTAGGAAAATAATAAATCCCAATCTCAAATATATTAAACTGCATTATAATATATTCATTAATTCTTAGGTCAGTAAATAATGACAAATATTTAGAAATTAGATTTCTATCCAATATACAATTTTCTCAGAAAAATTCAGAGTAAAATTTGGTATGTTTTCTGAGCCAAGTATTCACTAATTGAAGTATCAATTTTATTTTTCAATAGTTCAAAAATGTGATGGAAAATCAATGTTCCATTCACCTGTATGGATATATAAAAGGGCAAAAATCATTTTAAAATACTTTTACTAAAGGACCTAAGGAGTATGACTTTCTCCTATTTTCCTTTTACATGGAAATAAAAAGCAGAAAGGTGAAGAGAGCAAAGCAGTGGGTGCTGCACCACACCCAAGGGTCCCAGTACCTCCGGAGCGCTGGATCAGCCTGGGCCTCTTCGGTGATGAGCTCGGCTTCGCTCTGAGCAATCCTTAGGGCCAACTCCCGGTCCCGCCGTTCCTGCTCCAGAACAGCCTGCTGCTGAGATTCCTCCTCTCGCTGTTGGACCAGCTGCAATGCCACTTCAGCCTGCACAGGACAGAGAGTTCATTTCACCATAGGGTCCCCACTTGCTTACATCTCAATAATTAAAATAAGGGGGGAAAGGAACTGTTCATCCAAGGAATATCTATTGTTTAGCTACAATCTCTTCAGTTTATTCTTGTTTAAATTCATGCATCCATCTCTATCTTTCCATTTTTTTAAAACACTTAGAGGAGATCATTCTAATGAATCTCTGAAATAATCATGAATATTACAGGTATCACTAAGACAGACCAGGAAGAAAAGCCTGGTAATCTACTTCTGAAAAGTAGTCAATGAAAACCTTATGTATCATAGAATACTATCTGATACACTACTGGAAGATGAGGTTCCTAGGCTAGAAGGCACAGAACATGCATAGTGGCTACAACAATGGATTCAAACAAACTAATGCTCATGAAGAAAGTACAAGACCAAGCAGCATTTTATTATGTTATACATTGAGTCATCCTGTTTCACAGCTGCCTTCAGGGCAACTAACAACAGCAACAACTAGATGTCATATTGATACCAACACCTCAACTTCAGATGTCAGAAATTTTAAGTGATGGTTATACAAAGGATATATTATGAAAGCCTAGACAAATAGAGACTCAACTACATGATCAATTATTCTCAGCTATAGACACAGGACTTAAAAAAAAATGTAGGAGCAAGAAAAATATAATAACCCTAACTTATTAATACTACAAATTTTTAAAAGCATAATATCTATGTTTTCAATGAATGTTTACCAGACTTTTCCCTAGGTATAGTTGTTGTTGTTGTTAGGTGCCATCGAGTCAGAACCAACCCATAGTGACCTTATGCACAGCAGATTGAAACACAGCAGAACCTTACTACTGTTGCCATCGATGCTGCCACTTGGCCAATCCATCTCATTGGGGGTCTTCGTCTTTTTCTCTGACCCACCATCTTAACAAACATGATATCCTTCTCCAGCGACTGCTCCCTCTTGACAATATGTCTGAAGTATGAGACACGAAGTTTGGCCATCTTGGCCTCCAAGGAGCAATCTGGCTGCACTTCTTCCAAAATGATCTATTGGTTCTTTTGGCAGCCCATGGCACTTTCAATATTCTCTTCCAACACCATAACTCAAAAGCATCAATTCTTCTATGGTCTTCCTTATTCACTGTCCAGCTTTCACATGCAAATGAGGTTACTGAAAATACCATGACTTGGGTCAGGTGCTCCTTAGCCCTCAAGCTGACATCTTTGCTCTTCAACACTTTAAAAAGGTCTTGTGCAGCAGATTTGCCTAATGCATACATCGTTTGATTTCTTGACTGCTGCTTCTGTGAGTGTTAATAGTTGATCCAAGAAGAATGACGTCCTTGACAACTTCAATCTTTTCTCCACTGATATGATTGTTGTTTATTGGTCCAGTGGAGAGGATTTTTGTTTTCTTTACATTGAGATGTAATCGATACTGAAGGCTGTGCTCTTTGATCTTCATCAGTAAATGTTTTGAGTCCTCTTCACTTTCAACAAGCAAGAAGAAACAATAACAACACTATTCTAAATGTTTTAACATGTGTTAACTCATTTAATGCTCACAACTATTATTTATGTCCATTCCATGGAGAAAACCATGACCCAAAGAGTAGCTTCTGATGAGCTGTGGATTAGCAAAATTTTAGCAGGATTTGGACCCACTTCCCTTAATTTAAAGTCCCTCCCTATAATCTCTTCAGCTATCTAATAGGTACATACCTGAATACGCTTTTCATCATCTTCCCTTTTCTTTCTCTCTTCTTCTTCTTGTTTTCTCTTTGCTTCCATCTCAAGTTTCCTAATAACAACAGAAAACTCTTTTAAAATTTAATAGAAAATTTGGAATCCCTCAGAAGGCAATTTGACTCTAGTAGCATAGTGGTTACAAATCGGGCTGTTAACCTTAAGATGGGCAGTTTGAAACTACCAGCCGTTCCGTGGGAGAAAGATGAGGCTCTTTGCTCCCATAAAGATTTACAGCCTCGGAAACCCTGTGCAGGGTCACCATGAGTCGGAACCGACTCCACGGTACTTAACAACAACAACAAACAAAAGTTACAGAATGGAATCCAAATGAACCTCTTGGTTATATACATCATTAACTTATTTTGAATAAAAATAAATTCTAACTCTACAGACTAATTTTTCTGAAAGAAAACAAATGTTGTTGTACTTTATAACCTTTGAAAACTATAGATTAAGTTGGTTGCAAAACTAGCACTAAGGTACTGATTCCATGTGCTTCTCTGTATTCCTTCTCCAACTAAACCACTCTTCTACTCTACCATAGAGTTCTTCCAAAAAACTACTAGTTTTGAAACTTCAGAAAATAGTAGCATGCTTTTCTCTAACTTATAAAATAATTGACAAAATAAGGGGAAAGTTTTAAAAATAAGTTAAGAAATCTTCATATTAGGGTTAAAATAATTGTTATCCTTATTATATAATAAACTATTATTCTCAACTTTGAAACTCATTTAAAAAATAATTTTTAAATAAGAATATTAGTTTTAAAATCAACAGTATTCATGGCCAATTGTCAACACTAACAAAGTATATATACACCACTATTCTGGTAATTTCTAATTCAAATAACTGCAATGTAAGTGCCTTACATTCGCCTTTCTTCCTCTTCCTTTCTTCGACGCTGCTCATCTTCTTCACGTCTTTTTCTTTCTTTTTCCATTTCTTCTTGAATACGTCTCAACCTTTCTGCTTCCTCTTCCTGTTGTTTTTTCTTCTGTAATGCACTGAGGAGTTTCTCAGAGCTTTTAACTAGTGCATCGTACTCTTTTTGTATTTGTTCCCTTGTCATCATAGTGGACTTAAAACAAAACAATAAAAATGAACTTAAGAAGTTATCTATTCACACAAATATTTGACCCTATGGAATGTAACTCTAGCGTAGTGGTTACAAATCAGACTGTGAACTGCAAGGTCAGCAGTTTGAAACTACCAGCTGTTTCACAGGAGAAAGATGAGGCATTCTGCTCCCGTAAATATTTACAGCCTCGGAAACCCTGTACAGGGTCGCTATGAGTCAGAACCGACTCCATGGCACATAACCATCACAACCACCACCACCACCACCACCATTGAATGTAACATATTAGTTGAAAATTTTTTGTAGGAATAATTAGCTAATTTAGCTACTATTTACTAGTCTTTAATGAAATGCTCACATAGTACCAAGGAACATTTAAGAAATTATTAAAAAGCATTCAAAATTGTTAGTTGGTTTTCCTTAGACTTTACAAAATATAGCTGGTTAATTTTAGTTGATAAGGATACCACACAAACAGAGATGACTTTTGACATATTTGTAAAATCAACTATATTTATCTATATCATTGTCATTCTTCTTAATCCAAAATATTTCCACTGTCTACACAAAATATTTGAACAAAATAGGGCAAGAGGATCACTTTAAGGCATTTCTTCTTTATCCTAGTCTATATCATTATATTCACATTCTATATAATTCCAAAGATATAGAACAATGAACCAAGGAGTAAGGAGTGCTGGTGGTCCAATGATTAAGCATTCAGTAGGTAACTGAAAGGTTGGTAGTTCAAACCTATCCAGCAGTCCTGTGGCAGAAAGACCTGGTGATCTGCTTCCAAAAACAAAGTTTTTGTTGCTAAGTTTTATCAAGTCAGTTTCAACTTTTAGCAGCTGGTGGGTTTAAACCACTGACTTTGTGGTTAGCAGTCCAATGCTTATCCTACAGCGCCAAACTGGGACCTAGAAAATTGTATGGACAGTTCTATTCTGTCATTATCAGATGGAGTCGCTCTGAGTCAAAATCAACTCCAAGGCTCCTAACAACAACATAACAGCCAAGGATTAATGTCTTTATTATATAAAAACATGAAATAAGATGAAAAAAAAATTAATATCCTAAAATGGTGGTGGTAGTATGTCGTGAAGTCGGTTCCAACTCATAGCAACCCTGCATTGGGTTTCCGAGGCTGTAAATCTTTATGGGAACAGAAAACCTCATCTTTCTCCTGTGGAACAGCTGGTAGTTTCGAACTGCCGACCTTGAGGTTAGCAGCCCAACTCGTAATCACTTAGGGATAGATAATGAAATATAAGTAACAAATTAGTATACAGAAAAAATTTTCAATCTCACTAGTAATCAAATAAATGAAAAACATTAAAAAGAAAATAAAAAGTAGGGCCCATCTGTCCTATAAAATTGAAAGAAAAAATTCACTACTACTTTCCCAACAGTTCAATAAATCATGTCATAGTCTACATGAAGATAATGTAACAACACAGACAAGGCATATAACATGATGCCAAAGCAAAAATAAACAAGAACAAACCTACTACCATCAAATCAATCCCAACTATTAGTGATCCTACAGAGCAGGGTAGAATTGCTCCTTAGGATTCCCAAGCCTGTAAATTTTATGGGAGCAGACAGGCTCATCTTTTTCCCAAAAACATGGTATTAGGGGTACAAAATTAAAAGTTCACTATGTGTGGTGCAGTAGGATAAGCACTGAACCACAAGACTGGTTTGAGCTGCAAGGTCAGTGGTTCAAACTCACCAGCCACTCCTTGGAAACCCTATATAGGGTCGCTAGGAGTCAGAACTGATTCAATGACACTTAACCACATGATAAGGACTATATAAACAGATAAGCAAACATAAGAAGACTAGAAAAGAAATCTTTAACAGTATAATAGTTGAATGTGTCAGTAAAAAGGACAGAAGCAGGGGAAGACACAGGGAGGACTGCAAGAGTTAAATGCAGCAAAGGTAAATACTGCTATATACTTGTAGACAACCCTACAGTCATGATGATTTATGACTGAATACTTGAATCAGCACACGGACTAAATGCATGTGGCAGGAAGAATGGGACTACACCCACCAGTACATATAGACTTGACAGACACTATTCTCACATTTGTATTTATCTATGCTGCAAATACAGCCATGATTATGGTGGAGCGTACAGGCAGCAATGTTACAAAAGCTTCTTAGATCAAAGCAAATACCTTGAGGGAATGAGTCTATGGGCCTGGAACCTCAGAACCAGAGTCTAGGGCACAGTGTGAGTTAAGGCTAGCAGCCCAGAGATTATCCTATGACATCAGGGTTCCTTTTGCATGCTTTTTAAGATAATGTCGGTTCACAGGTTGATAAAAGTTATTAATAAAGCAAAAAATGCCTTCACCAATTTTACTGCTGAATGTGTGACTGTGGAAGTTGAGTGTATTAGTGGGGCAGGGTTAAGGTTCTTTTGGTTGATTTTCTCCAAAATGTCAATAAGATTCCAATAAGTATCCAAAAAATTAAAGTAATTTGCAGTTAATTCTCTCTCAACTTGGATTACTGAACACTTCACAATGAAGCATATTTTGGGAATAAAATCTTTTGTAGAAATAGATGAAATCTCATTACAAATTGTCTTCCTTCTTGCTATGAGAATTTTCAAATATAGAGAACAGCACAGAGAATTACAATGCATATCCACTAGCCATCATAGAGACTCAGTATTGTTAGCATCTTTTATCTTTAAAAATAGACATGTCCTATATAATCTCAAGGTAAATAATAAAAGATATTAAATTACATTAAAAAATCAAAGTCATTTGGGGTAAAAGTGCATACCTTAATTTTGGACATCAAAGCATCAATAGAGATTTCAAGATCCTTAACCTGTTTATTCACTTCTGGTTTTCCATCCTTCAGTGCACTCACTACTTCATTAAATTTATCAAGTCGTTTTTTCAGCATGCCCACCTTAACCAGGCCATCAATGCTGTGAAGATAATACGTAATCAGTTTAATTTTACCATCGAATGATAAAAGATTTTTTTTCTTTACAAACAAAGTCCTACTGTTGTTGTTGTTCAGTGCCATTGAGTCTGTTCCGAAGCTTAGTGACTCCGTATAGGGTTTCCAAGGAGCAGCTGGTGAGTTTGAACTGCCAACCTTGAGGTTCAAACTGACCTTGCCATCCTGAGCTTATCCTACAGCATCACATCAGGACTCCAATAAAATGCTATGTTGTTGTTGTTAAGGGCTGTCGACTTGGTTCCGACCCATAGCAACCATATATAAGGTTTCTGAGAAGCAGCTGGTGAGCTTGAACTACCGACCTTGAAGTTCAAACGGCTTTGCAGTCTGGTGCATTAACCCACAGCCCCACACCAGGACTCAATAAAACACTATAGATAGTCCTAAAATTTCACTTCTGTTTTCAATATACTCAGTATTTCTTTTTCAAACCTCTTGTTGGGAGCAAAAGAAATAACGAAATAGGGGTATGAATGGTATCAATGCTTGACAATGGAATTCAACTTTTCTGTATTCAGAATAACAAAATTTTAACTCAACTTATACACTAACATTATGAATTGGGCTACTAACCTCAAGGTCAGCAGTTTGAAACTACCAGTGGTTCTGCGGGAGAAAGATAGGCGGTCTGCTCCTGTAAAGATTTACAGCCTCGGAAACCCTGTGTAGGGTCACTATGAATTGGAACCGACTCCACAGTTCTTAACAACAACATCAATTTAATTGCTTAGAAAAGTTTTAGCAGTCAATAATTATTCAGATTTTCATGTTTAAAAAGTGCAAATTAATGCTGAAAGGCTCAAATACAAAATAAGCACTAAATGTATAGTGAGAACATATAATTCCTATAGATAATCTTGAAAAACATGATAAAAACATTAATAAGATAGGGAATGAAATTTCAATATTTCAGTAATAAGATTTCAGCAATATCAGTTTAATAGTTACCAAGAAACTCCAGTCACTAAAATAATTAGAATAACCATTCTTTCTTTATTTCAACTTTTTATATTTACATGTTCTGTAAGTCCTTTTGTAGAATGAGATAAGTAATGAATTGACTAATTTCAAATAAATATTACAGAGAACAGCCTAATAAATCTTTTTGCAAAGGACATGAGGAAAAACTCCTCCGGTATCCAAACTGTTCTTCATTGCATTAGGGTAAATACATTTTGCAGGGTTCTTTAGGTGCTAGCAATCGTCTTACCGAGGTTTGTGTCTCCTTTTGCAAAGCCACATTCGAATTGTTTTCTGCATTTTAATACAGGCTTCAGCTCGATATTTTATTTTGTTTTTCACTATATATAAAATGAAGCATTTAAAAATAAATTAGACATCAATATAAAGCACACACACATTAATTTCCACAAAGCAATACTCAAGAAACATGATATGTAAATGAACATATTATAACCCAAAGCAAAATCCATTGCCATCAAGTTGAAGCAGACTCTTAGCCCCTATAGAACAGAGCAGAACTGTTCCATAGGTTTGCTGAGGCCAATGAACACCGTGTACCAGACACTAATATCCAGAATTCACACTGAATTCCTGATACTTAAATATTACATCATGTATATGATTTTTTTTATTGTTAATTGTCACAGGTCAATTCTGACTATTTGGCTAAATTTTCATTTTAAATGCATCCTCATTGTTCTATATACACTATTGTTTCCCAATCTCTCCTATATAGTACCTATGAAATATTAATAGGTATCCTGGAAAATTAATCTGTCAATTAAGTTTACAAAAAGCGTTCTACATGTTGTTGTTGTTGTTAAGTACCACTGAGTTGATTCTGACTCATAGGGACCTTGTATAGGGTTTTCAAGGAGCAACTGGTAAATTTGAACCACCGACCTTTTTGGTTTAGATTGATCTTGCAGCTCAGTGCTTTATCCCACAGCACTACATCACGACTCTGTTCTTCATCTTAGAAAGTCATAATGAACATATCGAGTGAGGCATATGAGAATTCTGCAGTAAAGGGCTTTATTTAATTTCAGATACCCAGCATTTCCTAGATTCATCTAACCTGAAGCTGTTTTCTTAGCGCAACCTGTAAAGATCCCTGTCCAGTTATTGACTTCTATATCACTACAGACAATTCCCAAAGCAGAGTATGCTGTTAACTGCCATTGGATAGGTTCCAACTCATGGCCATCCTGTACAGGGCTTCCAAAGAGCGGCTGGTGAGCTTGAAACACTGACCCTGCATTTCAAACCAATCTTGCTGTCCAGTCCAATGCATTGATCCCCAGTGCCCCACCAGGACTCCAATCTGTGTTTATGGAGTTTTCGCCATAATGCAACATGTTAAACAAAGCACTAAACAACAATGACATATGCTTATACTTTATTTGGAAAATTATAGGGAAAAAAATTAATTTCCTTTATTTTTATAATTTTGTCATCTAAATTCATACTTGCTTGGGCCCCCAATAATGATCTTTTCATGAGCACTGCTCCTTTTTACTGTTGTTGTTATTAGGTGTCATCCAGTCCATTTTAAGTCATAGCAACCCCATGTGACAGTGTAGAGCAGTCCCACAGGGTTTTCAGGGCTGTAATCTGTATGGGAATAGACTGCCTGATCTTGTTTTTGTGCAGAGTGGCTGGGTGGGTTTGAACTGCCAATCTTTCAACATTCAACCACTGTACCATGAGCATAGCTCAAAGGAACTGTATTTTGAAAAAAAAAAAAGAAAAGAAAAGAGTCCAGGTGTGGCGCTGAGGGCTAATGCGCCAGACTGCAAAGTCGTCTGAACTGCAAGGTTGGTGGCTCACGCTCATTAGCTCCAAAAATTAAAGGTTATCAAAGACCCTCAGGTATTCTAAAAATACAGTTCCTCTCCCTTGTTTTGGGTCAGTTTAGTTGCCATGACCTGGTAAAAAACACACATAAAGGCAGTGTTCAGTATGTTAGAGAACAAGGTCTGAAAAGGGAGTGAGGGATTAGGCTGAAAAGGTAAACTGAAATCCCATTTTATAAGGTCTGGAGAGATAGTCTAAGAATTCTGGCTGCCCGCTACTCAAGCCCTGGTGTGGTGCTGTAGGATAAGCATGACTGGTAATCACAAGGGTCAATCCCATCATCTATAGGGTCAAACCCTCTTCAGGGTTGCTATGAGTCAGAAGTGACTAGAGGTACAAAGCAAAGAAAAACCTTAGCACTCTGTGATCAGGGCACCCAGTTGGGAAGCTACTGAAATGGCTGTGCAAGTGAGCATGAGGGACTCTACCCAGGTACTGGTAACAAAGAAGAAAGAATATGTAGGACTTAGAAGCAGGATGAACAGGACTTGTGACTGACTAAAAAGATACCAGGGATAAGAAAGAGAGACCACGACAACTTTGAAACTCTGAATGATTGTATTGATGGTGATACTATACAGGTAGAAAAGTTACAGTTCTGGTATAAGTCTAAGACTGGTGGATAACATAAGACAGAGGAAGAGAGAGAAGATGAAGACCATGAGCTTTATTTTGGGAAATGATGTTTCTATAGCACATTCAGTCCTTAATATTCCTATTAACACATTCAGTCCCTGGGCAATGTAAACAGTTATTGTGTTCAGATGCTAACTGGAAGGTTGGTGGTTCAAGTCTACCTGGAGGTTCCTCTGAACAAAGTCCTGGTGAATTAATTCTGAAAAATAAGCCATTGAAAACTCTAGGGAGCACAGTTCTACTTTGACACTCATGGTGTCACAATGAGGCAGAAATAAATTCAATGGCATGAGGTGGTTACAATAGCTTTAGAAACAAAAAAAGAGAGTCTACCAGTACTAATTTACCACATACTACATGTGAGGTGTTGCTGAGGAATCAGGGATACAGGATAAACAAGAGGCGCAGTCCCAACTGTTCAGCATTCACTAGCGAAGCAGTTTGCAGCACTACACAGATCAACTTATTTTTAATATAAGACAGTTCTCCATGGAAAGGAACACCTACATTTAATAACCGAGAGTGAGCACCACTGAACTTTCTTCCAGCGACTGCAGATGAGCCAGTGATTGACTCTTTTCACCAACTCTGCCAAGTGGTCAGGGTCAGACTTCATAATCTGATCAAATTCAGCAAACTGGGAAGTAAAGTAGTTGAGTATCAATATTAAAAGGTTACTGTGTTTAACCACACACACATAGACACAAAATAAAGGGAATATGAATTCAAAAATCTAACTTTCTGGAAATGGCCACATGCCAATTACATAGACACATCTCAATGGGGTATACAGCAAATCCGATCACACTTGGCAGCATTTTGCTACCATTTTACTTCCTTCTTTCAGGATGGTTTTTTGTGGAGAAAGGGAAATTATTTATTGTTAACTGTTGTTGATGATGTTAAGTACCATCAATAATAAAGGCTGATGGTAGGAAAAACAAATCAAATGACTTAAATTACAGTACTTGGCAGAAAAGCTTCACTGAGGAAAGAATGAAAAAAAGGATGAATTATCTCTGGTTTTGGTTCTCCCACATTTTCAGATATCCTTCTCTAGCTCCTGATAAGTAAAGACCAGCTAAGTATTATCAGATACCAACAAAATGATTCTGTCTCTCAACCCCAATTTGGTCAAGATAAAAATTTGTTAGTAAAACATAAAAACCAACACAAAGCAGCTATCAGGTTATTAATTAATAAAATGTATTCTGTCCACTGTTTTAACATCAAATTCCATAAAAATTTCTTTCCTTTATCAAATTCCCAATACAATATTAAGAATGCCACACAGTTATCTATTAAGGTATTGGCTTTTACATGGGTCAAAATTAAAGGAAACATAATGAGATTAAAGATTTTTGGATCTTTGCCTTAGGCTTTCAGCATATCCTTTTGAACTATGAATTTCTCAGGAGACAGACAAAACCAACTGTTTTCCTCTATCAGAGTATTAAACCATACATAATTACTGTGGCTCTGAAATAAAAGAAAGGTTGATTTTATGGTAAATATGTGTGATTATACCTAAACCAACAATGAACATTTGTATGGTCTTTTTCTCTTCATATTTTTACTTCTGTAAGAAATGGTGTTGCTGCTATTAAGTGGCTGCCACATCACTGCTAACCCATAGTGACCTAGAATAGGTTTCCAAGGAGCACCTGTTAAAACTGACCTTGCAGTCCTACGCTTATCCTAGAGGGCCATACCAGGACTCCAAAGGAAATGGTAGGGCCCTCTAATATAAATGTATGTCTTACTAAAGTATTTATTTTATTATGAATATTTTTATATTAGAGGGCCCTTGCAGGAAATGGTAGGGCTATCTAATATAAAAATATTCACAATTAAATAAATACACTAGTAATACATACATATATTTCATCTCACACCCAGAAATGTTAAATCAGATTTATTTATTATGACTAAGTTAACTTTCAATGCATTAAATTTATTTATTCATGATTTTTTTCAAGCAAGGTAATTTAAATATAGTAACAACAGTGTTTAAAATTATGAGGATGCAACTATTCAATTCACATTCAAGAAATCAGGAGTGATGACAATGACTATTGCTTAACCAACTGTGAATCATACTTAGATGTTTCTATGTTCTATATATGTACATATGAAGCAAGTAGTCTACAAAACTGTCTCGCAACTTACTATGAGAACCTGTATGTAGTAAAGCCATAGGACCTTGTATTAGTATTTTTAAAATATGTTCCATATAAAAGTATTTATACATTTATTACTCTAGGGTTTGAATGAGGTCTGTGCAAAATTTCATATACTTTATATATCTACCATATTTTAGTATAACCTGTTTTCAAAACAAAGGCTCAAAACTACTGTGACATCTTACAGCATTGAAGTCTGAATTATTATGTTTTAGAAAGTCTTCGGGCATGTTTGAAACTAAAGTATTTCTGGCTAACTCTTAATCTACTTTTTAAAAAAAATCCAAATAAGCAATGTCCAGATTCTAATACTTAGAAAACTAAATAAAACTATAAAAATTATATACAGTATTACACATTGTAAACTTCTCATTAGTAACTGTGTGTGTGTTTATATGCATGCTGTTAGTGAACATTTAATTCATGAATAAACTAACATTAAATGTAATAAAACATTAACAAAGTTCAACATTCTGTATTGATGATATTGAAGTTTAAAATAAGAGTAAATTTACCTTGCCAGGTCTAAAAAATACTTTCGTCAACCCAAACTTATAGTCAACTTCATTTAAGCCCAAAGCTTTAAAAAGAGCCTGAAAAACAAAAACAAAAAATTAGATGATAACTGATTATTAACAGGAAAGACAATTTATACATAAAGAATTTCAATATGGAAGGCATTTTACCTTACAAAACAGTCTTGGATCCAATCTTGCAAGTTTATCTGGCATATATTTTTTATACATGTTATAGAGTTCATGAAATGAGGCCCGTGAAGGAAAACCACCCTGCATCAAGTCCAAAACAGACACCATACCTAGATTCATAAACAAATACAAATCACTGACAATAATAGCAAACAAGTCTGAATAAATTTGTGAATGATCATGCAATTTTACAAACAATGTTTACAAAGATCTATGGGAATTATCAGTATTGAAATATTACATGGAAATAATGTTTTTATACTCAATACATCCTACTTTATCCACTTATTGAAACTATTTTTAGAAGGTAATGGAGGCTCAGTAGTAAAAATCTCACCTCCCATGCCATCCTGGAGACCTGAGTTTCCTTTCTAGCTAATGTATCTAATGCTCAGCTATCACTTATGTATCATTAGAGGCTCTGATGCTAAATAAGATCCAGTAGAGCTTCAAGACTCACTAGAAAGAAAGGCCTCACAATTTACTTCTAAAAATCAGTCAATGAAAACACCCTAGGAATCACAATGGACCAAGTTCATTACTCACGGGATCACCATGACTCAGGAGCCAACTCAACAGTAGTTAACAACAACAAAAACTATTATAGAAATTTTCATCTAGATCAAACTGGACCTTTTGTGAAAGAGCTAATACTGGTGTTTGGAAAGCTCAAGTATGTTTTATATCTCTTCTTCCACCACTGCTGTGCTTCCCATTATGCCGTCACTGGTCATACTCTGTAGTTGCACTAGCCACATGTGGTTATTTAAATTTAATTTAAAAAAATTAAATTATATTTAAAATTTAGGACCTAAGACATACTAGTCATATTTTCAATGCTGTCAAATTGGTTCCAATGCATAGTGACCCTGTACAGGGTTTCTGAGGAGCAACTAGTGAGTTTGAACTAACGACCTTACGGTTCAAACTGACCTTGCGGTTTTCAATGGCTACCATATTGGATACACAGTTACAGAATATTTCCATCATCATGGATGGTGCTGACGTGGAAGAAGATGAAGAGCAGGCCTAACTCAAAGTCTGAGAACTAGAATAATATTCAAGTGGAAAGTAATCAGGTATAGACCCAGGGAATATGAAAGAAAAGGTGTCTGGGCTGCTCAGAATCAAATGTCATTGTGAAGTTCACTAAGATAAACAGACATTTGATTTGGGGTCAAGAAAATCATGGGTGAGCTTGTCAAGAACTACTTTGGTGTACTGACCGGTGTAAATTGTATTCTCTTAGGTTTAAGAGTAACCTGTTGTTATTGTTAAATGCTGTTGGGTCAGCTGACATACAGCAACACTGTATAGAGTTTCAAATGAGCAACTGGTGAGTCTGAACCACCAACCTTGGAGTTCAAACTGACCTTGTAGTCCAGTGCTTTTCCTACAGCCCCACAATAGGAATCCAAAGAGTGGAAAACAGGAAAGTGAGAAGCAAGAACAGACTGTTCTCTTAAAATGAAAGAAGAGAGACAGGAAAGTAGCCAGAAAGGGATGTGGAACACACAAAATTAAAATGAAACTTGTTGTTGTCAGATGCCATCGAGTCAGAACCAACTCATAG